ATTTCAAAAGAAAAATGCGTTATTGATATTTCAAATTGAAATGCAACTTTAAATGCTTAATTTGTTTTCCCCTAATTTTATTTTCCAAAAGTATTCAACTGCGCATCATGTCACAATAGAAGCCCCATATCTCACAATAAGTGGGATTAAATGAAAGAATCACCTCTAATTTACAGTCCTATATTTTAATATTTATTAATCAATAAAGGTGGATGCAGCCCAATCTCAATCAAGATATACTTGCGAGATAAATGCATTATTGCCCTAGAGAAAGTACTTAAATGTGAACTAAGAAACATAACAAAAGGCAAAATTGCATTTTTAGTCCTGCTATTTTAATATTGTAATATTTTTAGTTCCAAATTTTCAAATTTTTGTCTTTTGATCCTGTAATTTAGTATTTTGCTGCAACCACAAAATTTAAAATTATAGGACTTAAATTGCTAATCAAAAAGATTTAGCAATTTAAGTCATATAATTTTAAAGTTTGTTGCATTTTCAGTTTCAAATGACTGAAACTGCATTGAATTTTAAAATCATAGGACCAAATAGCAAAAATATACAATTCTTATGACTAAAAATGTCAATGAATCAAACCAATAGAACTGAAATTAAAATTTTACCTACGAAAAGAAAGAGATTTTTTAAGGAAGGGTAATTATCAGTAATGCTCCCTTTCCAAGGTGGGCACATGTTAATATGTCCACCGCTTATGTGACATGTACACACTGGTGATGTATTTTGTTGAATATATTAACATCACCGATGTGTGCATGCCACATAAGCGGTGAACATATTAACATGTGTCCACCGTGAGTAGGGGAGCATTATCCTAGTAATTATATAGAAACAAAGCCAAAACACGAAAGTCACGCCTAATAATCGGAAACCCTATATTCCAAGGCATAAATAATCAAATATAATACAAATCCCAAATGAAGAAGTCATACCTAATCTCAAGTTCAAAGGACTTAAAAATGAGAGTTCAGATTAGTAGGATCCAGTTGCCTGGGAAAATGAACAAAATTATATAATTTGTAATTGCTTGTACTTCATGCGTCTCAAATTCGTTGACACTAATAAACAAGCCTACCATTTGGATGTCCGAAATTATATTATATATATCCAATTAATATTAAGCATGCCTTCGAAAATCGGACTAGACTGGTCAGTTCAACCGGGTTATTCCAGTTCGATTTGCTATATCAAACAGTCCAATATTAGGTCAAAAACCATGCAAACCGGTCTAAAACTGGTTGAACCGGTGAAACGGAACCGATTCAAGCATTTGAATTTTAAATTTGTTGATTGTGTGATTTAAATAACACATTTTTTTTATTTGTATTTTCAATATGAGATATGTTCCCTAGCTAAAATTGCTAGGCCAATTTTGAGCCTTACATGTAATATTGTACTCATTAAAAAAAGTGTATTTTTTTTTATAAAAAAATTGGGCTATATCTATTCCCAAGCTATTAAAAGGAAGTAAACAAATTATTGTTGTTTATTATGTAAATTATTATTTTTTTAATAAGTAATAAAAATTTTAAAATGTGACTTAAAATGAAAATAAAGTTGTTTCTATTATCTCTATTTTGTAACTTGAATATAGATTAAAATTTTAAATATGAAAAATAAAATTTAAAAAGTTTTAAACATTAATCAACATTGCCTCTTATATATGTATTATTAACTGATTATTTAGAGAAATGTCATACATTATAAAATTAATGTATAAAATATATAATTATATATAATACATACAAAATAAATAAAAAATTATATATTAATTAAACTAATTCGACCAGTTCAAACCACTAATCTAATCACTGAATTATTGAACCAATTACTTCACAGATATGATGATCGGTTCGATTTTGAGAACCGCGCTAAATAGACGACGGAGAAAATAAATTTTAAGCTGTGCGTGTGTGGCCCCGCGCGCGTACTTAATAGGCGACCGACCCTTTTGCCTTTGCCAACACACAAATTCTTTTTTCTTTTTCCTTTTTTTTAGACAAAACAGAAAAGTTGCTCCCATTTTCGCAACAAAGTGAAATTATTGCGTTAAGTATTATTATTTTTTTTTAATAGTTAAAGTGTTATTTTCTTCTCTTTTGTTGGTGAGAAAGATTGTTTTGTTTGTTTATGCAGTAAGTACTCCCTCGTATTCATAACAAGTAACGTTTTGAGAAGTTGCACGGTTATTAAGAATATTTTTTTTTTCTAATAATAACCCTCATTAATGAGGATAGAGATAAATGCTTTTAAAAAAGATGAAGAGTTAATATGAAAAAAAAATCGTGTATTTATTAACTAGATGAGGGTAATAATAGAAAAAAAATGTATAAAATATCTAAAACAACATTTATTTTGTTAATAGTTGATAATACCAAAATGAGATTTAAAAAGAATATGAGGTAGTACGTATTTAATAATCAATTTCTCCTCATCATCTCGTGAGTTATTATTTCTCACATTAATCGAATCAATTAAATGCAAAATATGTTTCTGTAAAATAATATCCGATCTGATGTTTTTTTTCAAATTACGACCCTTAGATCTGGTAATTTAATATTTATAGTACCCTTTGGCAAAAGGCAAAGGGTAGATCGCCTGTTTTTTTTTTTTTTTTTTTTTTTTTTTTTTTTTTTTTTAATTAAATAAATTTTATTTTCTCGGATATCAATTGGATTTACTTAATACTAATAATCTGCCATTTTAACTAATCTTTACAATCTTTGCATTTCAACCCATTTACTTTCCGTTAATAACCATTTAGTCCTCCCTCTCCAATTTGCTTTAAATAAATATAATCACTTCCTCTCATTCTTCCTTGAGACTGAATCAGTTGATGATGTCGCTTAATCTTTGCTTCAATTGGACCAACTGAGTCAATCCCAAGTGAGCATACTTCACTCTGTTTTTTTTTTTTTTGGTGAAAATAAATGTCTTATACAAATGAATGCTAATTTATTTTTATTTTTTTTGTTTTATAAATTATTTGTTGTTTGTCCTGAAATTTAATTTGATATTGTATCCAGAGTGATTAACAGGAATTTTCATTTTAGTGTGTG